GCCTGTGAGGGCAGGCCGAGGTTGTGAGGGCCGGCTGGGGCTGCAAGGGCCGCTGAGGCAGCCGGGGCTGCAAGGGCCAAGCCCCTTGCACGAATTTCGTGCATCTGGCCTCTAGTATATATATATTAAAAAATAGAGATATTTTAAAAAGTTAAAAAATAATTACAACTCTATAGGTGGGATCTACTTACACACTCTGGGAACTTGATAACATATCCCTGTATAAACCTGACCTTTGTCAATGTGGCCTACTATTTATTTAGCAGCTACAGTGAACCATAAGGTTTTGTTCAGAGATGCAAGGTTAGACATTAGATTTTATGTCCAGGAAAAAAATCTATTTTGAAGATAAGAAGAAAAAAAAGATAAGATATTTTACTTAAACAAAAAGGAAAAACCATAATAGCTATTTAGACACAGACCAAAACCTTTTCAACTCACTACACAAGAGTTTAGAAAAAGTACTAGCCCTGGCCAGGTGGCTCAGTTGGTTGGAGTGTTGTCCCATATACCAAAGGTTGCAGGTTTGATTCCTAGTAGTCAACGTCCATACATAGGTTGCAGGTTCGATCCCTGGTTGGGGGTGTATGGGAGGTAACCGATGGATGTTTCTTTCTCACATCGATGTTTTTCTCTCTCTCAATCAATTAAAAACCAAAAACAAACAAACAAACAAAAAAAACCCCACAAAAAACACATCCTCGGGTGAAAATGTACTAAAAGGAATAAAATGAGTAAGCTGCCATATTAGTCAAGAAGTTTAACAAGTGTGTGCTGTTAGGCAAGAGCTACTGAAATAATGCAGTAAATCCTGATGTAATACAGAATCAAAACAAACAAACAAACAAAACAAACACTATCCCACAAATAAAATGAGGTTTCATGTTAACCTTTAGGAATCTGTTATGGCAGTTGCTTTTTTTTCCAAAGGACTGAAACAATTTGGAGCCCAGCTGCTACTTACTTTATCTAACAATAGACTGTTAAAGATGTATGACTCCTGGGGAGGCTAAACTCATACAGCTTAAGCCTCAGAAGATAACTTTATTACTCTGAGCTGTATGCACTGACTAGATACAACACTTGTGCCTGACTCTGAATGGTATTTCATATCAAAATGCTCCCTTAATTATAGCTCTAGCTTCTCAAGCTTTAGGCAGCTTAGTCAGAAGCTGCCTAAACTAACTGAAATTGGATCCCTGCAGAAAAAATATATTTTAGGGAAACATGTGCACCAAGCACCTACGCATCTGTTAACATTAAAACCAGAAGGCGGCAAGTATGTTAAAGCATACATAGGAACAGGCTGTAAAATTTAGTAATTCACAACATTCACTTTGAAATATTATGGCAATCTTTTAAAGCAACATACCACAATGGCACAATCAGTTCCTCTGTTCAACAGACATTTATTGAGCATCTATGTACTAGCCACTATGCTGGGTGCTGAGGACATAAAGATTAGCAAAACAGACATATAAAGCTCCATAGGTTTGTATGGTTTCTAAGGCTGAAAAGCAAAGAGAAAATAAGGTCGTTCTTTGATTTTGTTTTCCCATTAGAGCAGCGTTTCTCAACCTGTGGGTCGCGACCCCTTTGGTGGTCGAACGACCCTTTCACAGGGGTCGCCTAAGACCATCCTGCATATCAGATATTTACATTACGATTCATAACAGTAGCAACATTACAGTTATGAAGTAGCAACGACAATAATTTTATGGTTGGGTCACAACATGAGGAACTGTATTTAAAGGGCCAGAAGGTTGAGAATCACTGCATTAGAGGCAGTCACCCCCAAACCCCTACCCCAGTTATGAGGGGGCTGAGGCCCACAAGTTTTTGTGTAGGTCAACTGTGATATTTATGGGCAACTGCTTCCTGGAGGCCCAGTATGAATAGCAGTAGGTCCTCCAGACAGTCTATTTAATGCCCTGCTACACTGTGCAGTTTCATAAACTCTGATTGCTATTTATACTGTTGCTGCGCCTGGAAATGTTTTCTGAGTTCTAAAGGGGGTCACCATGAACAAAGTTCTCCCTGGCTCGGCTGAGGCAGTGAGGGACACTGCCAGTTCTAGTGGATGACTCCTCTGGTGAGGAGAATAGGGGGTCTCAGAGAACCAGGGGGAGGAAGCGGGAGAAACAACAGGCATTGGGAGTGAGGGTTAGGAACCAGCTCAGACTTCCCCCAGTCCTCCTTTTCCTTTTCTCCTCATTGATCAGATAAACATGGGGTAAGAAAGGGGAGGCTGTCCTGGGTTTAAGCAGGTTAGGACTGCTGGTATTCGTGGGACGGGGTTAAGGGAAATAGAATACAGTGTTCAGGGAAAGGAAGAGAATCACCAACAGTGTCAAAGGAGAAGGTCTGTGAATGTGACAGAAATGAGTGAATAATGATACATGTGGTATATGTTGGCAGGGGCATCTTTAAAAATTGGGCATTGTTGAGGGCATCCAGAGACATCCAATCCAAAGATTAGCAACCACTGACTGTTTCTTGGATACGGAACGTGATATGTGCTGACAGACTATAACTAAAGGGAAAAAAGAACCCTACACTGTTGGAGTATTTGCAATGCCATGGAAATTGTAGTGTTACATATCAATATTAGTTATTAATCATTTGTTTTATTTTTAATGTTTTTATTGATTTTTGAGAGAGGAAGGGGGAGAGGGGGAGAGAGAGAGAGAGAGAGAGAGAGAGAGAGAAACATCGATGGGCTACCTCCTGCATGCCCCCCACTGGGGATGGGAACCTGCAACTCGGGCATGTGCCCCAATCGGGAATCGAACCGTGACCTCTTATTGCAGACAAGGAAGCTTCGCTCCAGACAGATGGAATGACTGGACCGAGGTCACACATTTATGCTCTGGCATGACAGGCAGACTCAGGCAAGGAACTTTCACATATGTGACCGGGCATGTGTCAAAGGCATAAACATATGATTTTTATTTAGAAATCACAGGGAAGTCATGCAAGACTGAAGCAAGCAGGGAAGGAAAGTAAGGCAGACTCCATCCCCCACATTGTAGGGGAAGTGCCTCGTGCACTCTGAGAAATGAAACCCTGACAGTGACTTATCACACATTGTAAAGCTCCAGGGAAGACACACAAGCAACAGTTTTCAGTGAAAAACTGCCCTGAAGCGTATTTAATTAAAAAGAAATGTCAGTCTTTTTCAGTCGCCTTAAATAACATAAATTAACGTCACTCGAAACTTAACAGCATGTAGAAATAACAGGTTTAGATTTCATTTTTATCACAATTATAATTTCAGAGTGATACCAGAAAAGACTACCCAGATTGAGTGAAGGCACACATTTGCTCTGTTTCAGTGCAGGGAGGGAGGAAAGACAAGTTCAGGAACAGAAAAGAGGCAGCCTTTGGTATGAACCCTAATGAGTGGGTTACTTAGGAGTCACTGGTTCTCTAAGTCCCTAGAAAGGCAAAGAGAACATGATCTTTGTTGCTGTAAGGAAATCTTCAACAAAGGCGTTTCATTTGAACTCACATGATATATTAACATAATATTTCATATAAAGAGTGAGGGTACTTTTGAAAAAAATGTAGTAAAGCACTTCATAAACCTAATGAACATCAACATAACCTCTAACTATAATTTTTAACTATAAAAATCTTCCTAGATATTTAGACACTCAGTTACACTTGGCAGGGACTATGCTCTCTTCACGCTCAAGTCTCCTCTTTGGCTGTTTCCGCCTCCTTCTGGAGTGTCATTGTCCTACTACTCACACAGACACCCTAAGATATGGTCTCCCCCTCCCCAAATATTATCTCAAGGCAGATTGGGGCCTGCCCTGTATGGCTCAGTGGGTCAGTGTTGATTCCTAGTCAGGGCACAAGCCCGGATTGCAGGCTTGGTCCCCAGTGGGGGGTGCGCAGGAGGCAGCCGATTGATGATTATCATCAATGATATTTCTCTCTCTCTCTCTCTTCTTCTCCCTTCCTCTCTGAAATCAATAAAAATATATATATTTTAAAAAGACTGATTGGAAAACATCCTTACTAAGGTGTAAAAACTTATGACACTTAAAAGGAGTTATTTCCCTCCCCTTCTATTTTTTTAAAAAATTAGACTATAGCCTTAGCGGGTTTTGGTCAGTGGATAGAGCATCAGCCTGCGGACTGAAGGGTCCCAGGTTCAATTCTGGTCAAGGGCACATGCCAGGTTGCAGGCTTGATCCCCAGTGGGGGGCATGCAGGATACTGCAATGTTCGCTGGGGTGTTCTATCTCTCTCTCCTTCTCCCTGCTCTCTGAAATCAGTAAAAATAAAAAGAATTTAAAAAAAATTAGACTATATATTTTAGAGCAGTTTTAGGTTTACAACAAAACTGGGTAGAAAGTACAGTTAACACCCCTCCCCCTTTTCATTTTAATGGATATCAAATACTGAAATAAAACTAGGAATTTTTAATCTGGGGTCTAGAGAATCCATGGATGGTCTTCATGGGTCCTTGATCTCATAGATATTATATCCTGAATTGTGGTATATGGGTGTATATACATTTTTTTTGGGGGGGGTGCATATACTTTTTTTAAAAAAAAAACCTCACCCAAGGCCAAGGGTATGTTTTTAAAATTGATTTTAGAAAGTGAGGAGAGAGAGAGAGAGAGAGAGAGAGAGAGAGAAACCACCCGGCCACAGCTGTATATACATTTTCTTTAAGGAAGCAAGTCTCAGCAGGTTATCAAGGGGATGGCATTCAAACACAGCTAAGACCACTGAGCTAAAGAATGAAGTTCAAGGTCCAGACATCAGGTAGAGAGATTAAAGGAACTATTTTGGGGACAGAAAGGCTTCACTGGTGTCCCTAAAACACCACCACACAGGTGGCTGCCACTCCAAGTGTCAGTAAGTATACCCAGGCCTCTGACTTCAACAGGGCTATAGAAATACCCTGGTTAAGTAAATTACAACCAATGAAACAACTTTCAAAAAACATATGATGACATCTCCTTTTTCCCTTATTAACATACCTTTAAAGCTTCTATAACAAGGTCCCTGGCTTCAAGCTCTCCTTCAAGAATACTGAACAGTGTTAGGAGTTCAGGCTTGCTGAGTTTTTCCAGATTCATCCTGAAGGCCTAAAACAGAGACACAATCAGACAATCTCTGAAGACAGAGTTAACTTGATATGATCAAAGAAAAATAAATTGAGACAGACAAGAAGTATAACTATTATAGTATAAAAAGCTTTGAGAAAGTAAAATTCACTTTATTTCATCACTACTCACAAAAATACATTTTATCGTTTTTCCTCTAGGCATATTTGCAAGCATCCTAGAAGGTCTCAGAATGAGTTAGTCACTAATTTTGTTCACTAGAAATTCAGGTAAAATTGTGTTACAATTAATAGTATTTCACCAAAAATTGTTATACCATAAAAAGATTTCCCACCTTTAGATAACCAGATTCAAAACCCACATATGAAATGTGCTGGTATCCCTCTGAAATTGGCTGAAATGAAATTCGAGCAAAGATAATGTTCGCTGGGGGTATGGGAGAGATTTTTCTTTTCAACTGTCTACTTTCAGAGAGAATATCACAATATTTATATTTCATATAGCAAAATAAGACTTAAATGCAACCAATATGCAAAAGTAATTTTAAATGGCTTCTTAAAAATATATTGTTTTAAACATCTTCATTGGCCAGACTACTGAATGTATTTCACTTAAGTTCACATTTCTACAAGGAATTGTATCTTTTGAAATATGTTAAATAGGAAATCTCATGGCACAAATTCTATCTTTTCCACAGATTAATTTCTCACAAACCACACATAGAAATTAGATGGTTGTTTTAGGTTCTTTTGACCAGCATTTATGGTAAAATACATTTTACAACTTCCAGAGTAGAGCAAATACTACTTTCCTATAGTTTTCTGTAGAGTGAATCATGGCATGACTGGTGCACACACCCTCCAGTAATTCCCAGCTCTTAAGAGAACATTAAACTTTAGGAGGCACACAAAAGACTCATTGATTCCCTCCAGAGCTATGCCTTCAGGTGAAGGAAAACATGGAGAAAACTCTTACTTCACTGTGTTGTTAGACTATGTTTTGGGACATGCTGTGCAAATCTTTTCGCCACATGGTAAAATATGTTCAATGTAGCTTCACCTTTAAAGGGCTAACTTTCTAATGAGGGAGTTTTAGCGACTAGTAAGTAATTCTCACATCAGTGTTAGAGAGAGATCTCAAAACAGTTATTTTTTTAAAGGCTAGTTTACTGATTTTGAGAGAAATAGGAAGAAGGGAGAGGGAGAAAGAGAAACATGGATGTGAGAGCATAACATCGATGGGCTGCCTCCTGCACACCCCCTATGGAGAATCAAGTCCTCAACCCAGGCATATTCCCTGACCAGGAATCGATCCGGGAACCTTTCAGTACATGGGATGGTGTCCAACTAATTGAGCCACACCGGCCAGGGCTCACGGCAGTTATTTTAAAAATAAGAACTAAAAAACAGCAATAAACCTAATAAAGCTAAACTTAATATAGATGGAATGTTGGAAAGAACACGTGGCTTTGCAATCAGATAGATGCCAAGTGTGCATCTTCCTGGTTGTGTAACTTTGGGCAAGTTTTCAGATGATCACCTTTCTTATCTGTGAAAGGGGGTGATGATATCTAACTCATAGCGTTACTGTGGAGATTGCGTTGATAAAAGTAGAATGCATTGCCAAGTTCCTGATACAAACGGAAGAACGGTTTTAATTATTAATAACTACTATCCTCTCTCATTTTCCAAAGCAATTCAGAGAACAGCATTACCACAGTTAGGGGCAGCCAAGACCAATGACCTCAGAAATACCTTCTGCGGCCCTTTGTAAAAAGGGGCCAGCATCCTGAGTGAAGAATGGCGAGGACGAAGCTGCCAGCTGAGTCACCTGGCTTGTTATCTCTACGTGTGTAAATCACTCCTGCACACAAATGTTAATATCTGGAACATCTTGCTAATGTGTACCAACCCATTTAGCTTAGTGTCTGCATGAAGTGAATACAATACAAATATGACACAGAAGGAAAAAAAGGGCCACAGCTGTATAATAATTCAAAAACCCACAGATCTGTTTTTGTATAATCCGATAACCTTTCTTTATTTTTTAAATATATTTTTTTTATTGATTTCAGAGAGGGAGAGAGAGAGAGAGAGAGAGAGAGAGAGAGAAACATCAATGATGAGAGAGAATCATTGATTGGCTGCCTCCTGCATGCCCCCCACTGGGGATCAAGCCCACAACCTGGGCATGTGCCCTTGACTGGAATCCAACCCGGGACCCTTCAGTCCGTAGGCCAACGCTCTATCCACTGAGCCAAACCAGCTAGGGCATAACCTTTCTTTATAAATATTAAAAATCAGCAGTTCTTTGCTTTTTCTATTCATTTGAACATAATCTCAATACACAAGATACTGCAATACATTTTTGCATGACATAAATGGAAGCTAGTAAAACTGCCTCATGTTTTCGATGGCAGGGATATTGCTGAGGATGGGGGTGGGGGTGGGGTAGGATGGGATGATACTGACCTGATAATTGGCAGTCACACTTCAGTCCTCAAGTAGAAACTCTGAAAGTTTTCTTCAGTTAAAATTTGGGAAAATTGACAAATATATTTAAAATGCCGTCAACATGGTGAAAAAGTGTCCAATGCTGCAAGAGAATAAGAAATTTATTGCCGATGTGACCACACTATAAACAATGTCTAAATCTCATGAATGTCAACTGTGTCATTAGGATGATGAGGCCTGACAGCTGTAGGTTGATTCGAACAAAGAGGAAAATAGCCACTTCTTCAAGTTGAAGCTGAGTAATATAGCAGGGGTCCGCTTCCCTTACGCAATTATAATTAGGGAAGGGGAGGGCTTTCAGAACCTCTTCTACTTTAAGGTGTCCATTGCCATGTCAAGGACTAACTTATGCACGTCTCTAGAAGAGAGTGACTTTATTTCCCTGAACGGACAAAAGCCTATTTGCTTGAGTCACCATGACTTAGGCACAATGGACAAAGAAAAATAAATATAACCGAATATTTCACATTGCCAAATCCGTGAGAGGAGAATTCTCATCCCCTCACCTCCTGCCAGTCAAAAAACAAATAAACCAACCTGTCACCATCTGGACTTTGTAAGGCTGATCACTCATCCCAAGCTTCTACTTCTCCCCATTTATTTTCAAATATTAAATGTCAAATTATATACAAAATGTGTTTTACTGTCCTAACAGTGAATTAGACCCAGCAGACTTAAAAAAAACGACAGGTTTAAAATTTTACTTGATAAAACATAATTTTGGCCTTGTATTTTTAGGAACCAGGCCTGAAGCCCTATTTGAGTTGCCAAAACGTGACAGTCAAATAGGGACAACGTTGGAGGAGGAATAACGCAGCAATAAATGCTTGTGTCTTTAACCAAGAATCAGCCGTTAACCTAATTATGGGTCTCTCCATTTAGGAGAGAAGTGTGTTTGTTGTGCAGTCAGTAACAAGAGTATAGAGCCATCATACAGGCAAACCACTAAATAAGCCCCACCCCAAATTTCTGCCCAATATATAAATTATGTGGCCCTGGATTTTCAGAAAAAGGCCATTTCTAACTCCGCAGTCATTATCAGAAATACGAGCCAGATTTTTGGCATGCTGTGTCGCAGTGTACAGACTCATTCCGTACTCGTTTTTCTAAATGAGCTGTTACTTGTCACTGTCATCATCCATTAAGCAACTTTGAAAGACAAGATCATTTCAACCAGATGCTCACTCAGTTCATTCCTTCCATTAGAATCCGAGACCAAACTTTCCCTTTCCTTCGAGTTTAGCCACAGATATTTCTGTCTAAGGAATGCTCCAGTCGATAAATATGAAATAAAGACCACTTGTGGACAAGTTGTCTGGATACATTATTATACACTGGACACAGCTAGCTGTAGCTATTTTAAGCTTCATAGTTTTCCCAATAAAAATATATGTAAATATATAATAAAAAAGATAAAGTTATATCTATTTTAATACTCTGGAAAATTAGCCTATTTATGGGCTAAGTATGAAGCATTTTTGTTATCAATATGTGATTTCAAACATTTGGTCTCTTCACATGTTGCTTACTTCCCACCACGTCAGGGCCAACAACCGAGAGCATGTCTCTTCTATACCAACGTTCATGTGCCCACAGTCACAGAGTAAGGGTACGGAGAAAGCCCCCCAAAGCCCTCGGAACCTTGCCATGGAAGCATGCTGTGGCCTGGGCTCTGTTCACTCGGTTCTGACCCTGTCCCCTTTCTGGATGACACCAAGGCTCCACTCATTCTGGTTCTGGTTGTGCCTTTTTCTTGAGGAAGTCCCAGCTTTTGCTCTGGAACTCTGAATTAATTGGCTGGGACAGCAGGCTTTGTTGCCTTTTTACCACATAGAGATTGGGTGGCAGAAAAAGAAACACCCCAAACAGCTTCTACAGCTATGCAAGCAGTGGGCAGGGCAGGGTGGAGTACAAGTAAGATGTTTGTCTATCTGGTATCTGGGTGTGTGTATGTTTTCACGTGGAACTACTAAAGGCTTTATTTATTTCTAAGTGGAGGGTAACATGAGACATGAAAGAGGAAAAATAATATTTTTCAATAAATCTTAGAAATACCTTAAGAAAAAAAATAGAATCAACTTGGCTAGTATAAAAACAAATCAGTTGTTTTACCCAGATCACTCTTGCAAAACTGGATAAAAATCACTTCTTTATTAATATGCTCAGACATCAAATTTAAGAAATTTATACTTGAGCTACAACTGACTGATATTCAAGCCATTCAGTAAGTTTTTAGTATCAGTGATAAGATACTAAAAGTAAAGACTCTTTCATACACATAGACGCAAAACCAAAATGTCGGAGGCCAGTTAATTCTTAAAATTCAAAGAGCCAGCACTAACATACAAAACAGGTGTTTCTGACAGCTTTCCACTGGATACTGTGCTTCCTTAGAAATCCAGGATATATGAATTAAAAATTTTCTTTTTATTGATTTGAGAGAGGAAGTGAGAGGGAGGGAGGGAGGGAGAGAGAGAGAGACATTGATCCTTTACCTCCTGCACGCACCCCAACCAGGATCAAACCTACAACCTGAGCATGTGCTCTCACCAGGAATTAACTGGCAATCTTTCAGTGCACAGGATGATGCTCCATCAACTGAGCCACACTGGCCAGGGCTATATGAAATTTTAAAAAATAAAACCTGTCACATTTATAAATACTAAATCTAAATATGGACAAAAATGCACTGCTATTTTAAAGAATGAATCCAAAACAACATACCATCTGGAGATAGAAGGTGTTGACATGTTCTCTTGACGATCTCAAAAGATGTAAGTTTCCCCACCCTCTGGCTTTCCAGTTTTTCAGAAGGGTTATTTATGTATTTGCGGGTAAAAGAATGACAACGTTCCAAACTGTACCTCTCATTCCACTTTTGGCATTTTAGGGTGAGCCCGGGGACAAAAACGTGTCAAAGTACTATCAAAAATTAATTCTCTGATTAAAAAGCAGGTCTTCTGTACATTTACTAAAGGAGCTGTTTTTGCTATTATTGTTTACAAAGGTTCTAAAACCACTGTAAAAAAGCGAATCGCGTTTTACTGAATTCTACAATACTAAGCAATGCAAGCTTTTACTACAAGTGTCAAATTAATCTTCTTTCAGTTTAAAGTAAAATACATTACTGGACTATTTGGGTCTTTATGTGTCTACATGTTATAACATACGTTACGGGCTGAACTGTGTCCTCCCTCCCCCAAATTCCTATGTTGCAGTCCTAATCCCCAGGACCTCAGAATGCGACTGCATGGGGAGACAGGGTCTTCAAAGAGTTAGTTGGGTTAAAATGAGGTCATTGGGGTGGCCCTAATATGACTGGTGTCTTTATGAGAAAATGTGGATACAACATGAGACAAGGAAGGAACATGTGAAGACAGAAAGAACACAGCTATCCACAAGCCAGAGAGAGAAACCTCGGAAGCACCCAATCATGCTGACAGGTTGCTTCTGGACTTCCAGTCTCAGGTGTGAGATAATTAATTTCTGTTGTTTAAGCCACCCCGTCTGTGGTACTTGGCTATGGAAGCCCTAGAAAACTAATAATACAGCATGCTAATCATTTACAACTTTTAGAGCAACTCGATCCCACTCTCCCCCCTACCATGAGAGTACCATAGCAGATTTTTCAGAATGCCTTGCTTTGTCTTATCAGACTGCTTTTTGCACCCACACTACAGATAGCGTTAAGCAGGCCTCCAGAAACCAGTTCTGTGATGAGGCCAATACTCTGTAAGGTTAACATTGAAAATACTCTCAGTAGTCTGTTCAAATACACAGTACTGTTCTCTCAAAGCAGATTCTAGGATACCAGCTTTTCTGGATTGATGCTTAGCATAGGAATTACTAATGATATAATTGAGCTTATCAACATTAATCACCACCACCTCAGAGTTTTATAGCACAGTTTTCTAAGAATTTAAGCAGTAATAATGAAAAATATAAACAGTTATTGAGCTAATAAACGTTAACATATTCTAGGCAGTGTTCTAAGTACTTGACATGTATCAACTCAATCCTCACAACCACCTTAGGAGAGAGATGCTGTAACTCACCAAGGAATTCTTCTTCATCACCCCCATTTTACAGATGGGAAACCTAAGGCATGAAGGCTAACTAACTTGCTTAGCGTTTCACATCTGGTAAAGGATGGAAATGGGATTGGAACCTCGGTAATATGATTCCAGAGGCTTCCTTACTAACCCCTGCTACTTGGTAACCACTGTTCACATCTGATCTGCTCATTTTATCAGCCTTCAGGAAGGGCGTGGAGGAAAAACCTGGGCCCACATGCGATTCACAAAGCTGGAAGGGCCTCAGAAAGAATCGAATTCAGCACTGTCTATTCACAGGTGAAAACCGAGGCCAGAGTTAAATTACTTTTCTGGAGATTACAGTTAAATAGTAAAACTAGGTTAACATTCATGTCTTTTTAAGATGTAGTCTAACCCACTTTCTGGGACACCATGATGGATATCAGGCTTTTGATTGTTTAGTTGTTTTAAGACTCGCACATCTCTGGTGTAGCCCTGTGTGGGTGTGATGTCTCTCTCTCCTGCTATGTGTGTGCATCTGTTTCTTTCACTGTCCTATGTTGCCAACAGGATTTATATGTACATTGAAGAAAAGGAGGAAGTGGCCTCATGCCCATCAACAAACATTCAAACATCTTTCCCCAAAAATGAGGACATTTAGCACGACGCTATTAAAAACAGGTCTGTCTACCTGGATATCTGTTTACACCCTTTCAAGTATTCTCACCTGAGTGAGACAAGACCAAACCAGAAGAACTACATTAGGTAAGCTACTGGAATGTATGTTAATGAAAGTGAATAGTAATTTTTATGTTAATACATTTTTTCATTAAAATAAAAAAGATATGTCTTTTAACATCAGAAAATTACCAGAAATATGAACCATTTCAAGTATACTTGTAAGTTGGCTTTATTTAGTTTAAATAAAATTACAATGTGATTTCATTGAAATATATCAGTCTATGTCATCTATTTGTCCATCATTCCCCTAAAGTTTTGCTTTTCTGATATAATGCCATGATGATTTGTAAAGTACCACAAGGAGAGAACAATAACATGTAGATTAATTTTATTTCCAGTAAAATGATTCATGGGCCACAATTCAAGAGACAGCCTGGAATATAAAAAACCCTTCAACAGTTATTGCAGGATGAAGTTATTGACTCCAGCAGGATTCCAAATCGGAAGAAACAGAGTATATGGCATGGAGGGCAAACCACGGACAATCAAGGTATCTGTGTTATGGCTGTGCCCCTAACCTGACTCCCCCTGAACTGCCAAAAAACTTCACAAAAGCCTCTGACAGAAATATAACTGATGATGCTGTTTTGCTTTTTAAATTTTGTCTTCTAAACCAGGTCACTGATTTTAAAAAAAGGTTAACAATTTGGTATCAGTTGAAAATTACCCACAACAGACCCAGCGATTGTTTTTGCTCCAAGGTTCTCTGGGGACAATAATTCTCCTGGGAGGAAGTGTCGCGGTGGAAAGTGCATGGACTTTGGTGTCGGACAGACCTAGGTTTGCATCCCTGCTCAGCCACTTCGTGGTTCCTTGATCCACTTAACCTCTGAGCTCTAAGGTCTTGTCTATAAAATGGGGATAACAATTCATACTCTAACAGGATACTAAATGGTTTACATGAGTTAGTGACTGGTCAGTCTTCTCATTTCTCATCCCTGGAGAGCATATACTGGGCTTCATCTCCAAAGATAATGAGGTTTTTCTTTTTCCAATGCGTCCTCATTTACTGTCATTCATGTGTCGAATTTAGAAATAAAAAGAAATGGACTCCTTCTGATTTAACAGCTACAGGAAAGAGAAGGCCTGGCCGGTTCCTAGGAAGGAGGCTTGGGAACACGCACGACACTGCTCCGCCGGCAGAATCTGCACACAGCTGAGAAAGACTGGCTTTCTGTGACTGGCAGATAGGTGCAAAGCACGCCTTTGCTTCACTGAATTTTTATGGCTTTTAATCGTCACAATTTTAACTTGTAATGGCCGAGAAATGGGTTTTCTAAAAATATCACCGCTATTTTTTTACATTATGTCAAATGCTTAGGTCCATATCTATATGTACATACATAATAGGTATGTATGTATATTCATAACCCAGGAGCAGTTATCACATTCTGTTCTATCAACTCATCTGTTTACATATCTGCCTTCTGTCTCACGTGACTGCTCTTCTAGACAAACACTGTCGCATTCAACTTGATTACACTTAGCACCGAGCAGCCTCTGGTTCGAGGGGGTACTCAAAAAACGCAGGCTGGAAAGAAATGTAAGGGAAGGTACCTTGGATGACAGCCATCGAAATTGGACTATCCTTTAGGAAATGAGATGCGACTCAACATGTTTAACCAGGTGACTATCATAACGAAAGCAGTTTTAGGAACGTTAAAGCTTGCAGCCCATAGCGGATTGAAGGCAAACTGGAAGCAGAAGGGGCAGTTGGGAGAAAACTTTCCCAGGAGAGATCTGAGGCAAAAATGAGAGAATTAAGACGGTGGCAGTAAGAAGGACTGATGCAAGAGACTTTATAAAGAATTTACAGGAACTGGATTCTGGCTCCATTTAAGGAGGCAAGAGGGGAAATGATCCCAGGTCAGCTGAGGTTTGAAGACTGGGTGACTAAATGATGATGCCATTAGCAAGAACAGGGATGTTAGAAAAGGAACTGGTTTTAGCGGGGAAATGATGACTGTGGTGTGAGACATGCTGAATGAGAAGTAGGCAGATCCCGAGAGGAATGTGTTAAGAGTCAGCGTGGTGAAGGGTAAGGTTTAGAAATGGAGAAGTCTTTAGGGGTAGAACCTTTTCAGAAAACGTCTGTGCCTTTCACTTAAGAACAGAAGGGACAGGAAGAAGCCAATGTCCAAACAGACCAGATCATTTTTGTGCCCTCAAATATTAAACCAGTTAAGAACCAGACTGGTTCTGTTCTCACTCCTCTATGACCTGCTGCAACAGAAAGGACTAAGCAGAAACCAAGAAGGCCCCCTTCCCACCACGAAACCACTTAGTGCTTCTCTTTTCCCTACAACTTAACTTGTCAGTTACTGTCTTTTCTCTCTCCTCTATAACATACTAGTGACCTGGTGCACGGATTCGTGCACATTGAAAGGAAATTAATTAGAAGGTGGCTGGTGGGGCGGGTCTGGGCAAGACGGGCCGAACACGCCCTGGAGCCAACCTCCTTTGGTCCCTCCCCGGCTGGCTGCACCTGGGGTGGCACCGTGGCTCGAAGGGTGTCTGCGGAGTGAGCGGGGGTCCCACCAGCAGGTGGGGTCCCTCAGCCTGGCCTGAGGGCATTGGGCAGAAACAGGCTCTCTGACATCCCCCGAGGGGTCCCAGAGTGCGACAGGGCACTCTGTAAAACTGCTGTCATCCAGGGTGTGGAATGCAAATGCAAGCATGCAGTAAACCAGATTCGGGCTGACAGTGCCCCAGCAACAACATAACCCACGGCCAAAGGTGGAATCGCACAGCTCCACGAGGAATCGGGCTCCCTCCTCTCTGGTTTCTGGGTGCATCACCCGAGAACTGCTGCTGACAAGTCACTGCAGCTCGGCAGCTCCTGTGTTGAGCGCCTGCCCCCTTGGTGGTCAGTGCATGTCATAGCTACCAATCAGACGGACACTTAGCATATTAGTCTTTTATATATATAGATCAGCAGTCACCAATCTTTCGGACTTCACAGACCACCAGTGGTCCGTGCACCACCGTTGGCGACCGCTAATATAGATAGTTCTTATATCTTGTTGAGAAAATTCATCCCCATTTCTTCCCCCGTCCCCTCTTCTCCTCCTCCTGGCTCTCACCTCCTAAGGAGAGCAGGCCCAGAGACACCTGGCCGAGCCTTCCCCAGCTGCTTTCCACAAAGGCTCAGTCTAAGCAGATGCTCTCAGGTTCAGGGTCAGGAGTCTTTTGTCGTAAATCCCCTCATCCTGTGCTCTGTCCTTCTGGTTTCTATTGAACTCCATAACAATTAAGGATTATAGTCTTTAAACTCAGTAACGATAGTAACAATTAAGGATTACGTTCTTAGTGGTTCCAGAAGCCAGAGAGGATTCCTTTAGCAGCAAAGGACACATTTACATTGGAAGCTTTGGCTTTGTACCTGAAATGCAGTTGGGAAACACTTGGCAGGGAGGAACCATCTACCGCATTCTTGACATCCATGCCTCCTTGCAGTCCTGGTTTCCTCCCCCACCTCCACTCCTATCTCCTCCATGTGGTTTCTTCTCACACGTTTTGGTTGTTCTAATGATTGCTCCTTACTTTAGGGGCCCCGGGGGAGTTGTCTTCAAAAGGCAAAAATCACTTTTAATCAAAATTACCATTGAAAAGCCCTTAAATCTCACAGAAGCTGTTGGCAGCAAACATTAAGGAAAAGAAAAAAAAATGGTCTTTAGAAATAGGCTAACAAGCCATTCCTAGGGTCACCCAACAGACTGGACCAATTTCCAACGGAAAGAAATCTCTGCTTCTCATCTCATGCCACCAACACCGTTCAATGGCAACCCCTAGGAACACCGTTCTGTTCCACTCAGACAAGGCAAGAATTCCAGTCCTGTTCTGCTAGTTCCCTGGTAGCTCTGCAAACAGTCGGCCAAAATACAAACCCACTGAGGACTGAGTGCTTTAGGCACCATGATCCGTCTGATGACTCCATTCAGGGACCCCAATATTGTTTGTGCCCCTGTTCCCTTACTTAGTGCCAGTTCAGAAAAGCATAAGATCAACTAAAAAACCATTAAAAAAAAATCCCAAAGTAGGTCAGTAAGTTGTAGAAACCAAATACTCAGAAACCATTCTTAAATATAAATCAGCCATCAGTTCCTAGTGTGTTCCCCTACATTCCCTTCATTCCTTTGGGGTCAGATTCTTAGGGAAATCAAATCCTAAAAGGACTAGCACTGAGGACATTAATATTTCTGGTTCAGATTTCATCACAGCAAACTTATATATCTAACCAGCAGCTAGTTTCTTATGGGAAATTCAGTATTTGAGAGTTAAGATACTGGAGTTTCATAAGACATCAGATAAGGAAAATAAAGTTCAGTCAAGACAAAAAGTGGATTGTTTATATTAACAAGATGTGCCACGTCTTATCAGTAGATGACCTTTCTAGACTACCCTAAGCTGATAGCTTCAAACTAAGTTTAACACTCATTAAATCAAACTATATACTAGGCACTGTGAGAGATACAAAGACCACACACATACACTACTACCTGCTCCAAGAATTTATAAATTAATGAGACAGATTAGACATACAATGCTTTTCTTCATCTACTATGACCAAATAAGTGTTGAAAATTTCCAAGACCCAAACCTGTATCAAACTGGTCTTGCATGATTTGCTTTTTCCTCTCTGCTCATTAAGGCCCTGGCAATCACCACTACTTTGGCTTCCTGAGTCTCTTACCTTAGTTTATTTTCTGTTCTCTGCTCATGTAATAAGATCTATCTTTTTGGGATTTCCTGTTCGGCCTTTAGTTTTTTTCCTGCTGCTATTGCTGGGGGCCCTCCTAGAGCAGACACTGTGTGTTTGCTGGGGAGACAGACCCTCCACAGTTTCTTCTTTGTGCCTTTTTATTGGCGATCTGGAAACAATCACTGAGAGTGGCTCTGAAAACTTGGAACCTAACTATTCAAAAGTAATTACCTTCAGGAAGTCTACTTTTAGAAAGTTTAATCAGGAAGGTAAAAGACAGCCTTTCTAATCACCCTCTGCGATTCCAGCTCCTTGCATCTCACTGCTGTGAGCTTTAGCTCTAGGTAGCAGCAGTAAGATGGACTGGGGGCTGAAAGCAGAAGAAACAACCTAAAAATATGGCAAATTTTAATATATGGAAGTGCTAGCCATGGATGATTACTGGGGATTCAATGGCGTTCACATTAGGCCAAAATCTTCAATATTCTGCACCTGCTGAAATGAAGGTCATCTTGACAAAGCCTTTATGAGCACACTATAGAGAGACACTGTGTGGGGGTTACACACGCAAGACAATAGCTGGAGTTAACTATGTTTTCATGTGTCCTCATTTCTGAGACTTAAAACGTGCTCTTACTTTTCATCCCCTAAATTTGGGTAGGTGATACTGGATTTGTAAAAACAATCACATCATTTATCAGTTTTTCACTTGGAGGGAAAAAACCCCCGTGAAAGAGGGGCTATAGGAGTAACCAAAGGCCACGGGACCAGATTAATCATAAACCTAGACGACTGAACCTGAATTTCTTCAAACACTTCCTGCCTTTTGTTTCAACAGAACCGTACCTTCAAGGTGAACTGCAGTCTCCCTGAGCAGCACACCAGCCCGCCCTAGACCGGGGGAGATACTCTTCCCTAACCTAGCGCGCTTGATGTCCCCATCAACACGGCCTTCTCGGAAAGCACGCTCTCATTCACTGACAGTCAGACAATACACGCCGGCTCCTCCCCAGCGAGGCCAACTCTGCAGAGATCCAGCCCACCCGTCTCACTGTGAACATACAGGGTGGTTTCCCCCAAGTTTTCAGGGAAGAAACAGGCTGGAAAGCAAAAATGAAACGCAACTCAAACCTAAAAAACCCTTAGAAGTTGGGTTCTCCCTCAAGAAAGAGGGAAGGTACAAAGGGGATGTGGGGGTGGAGAGTTACTATTTCTCCTTCCTTCAGAGTCTAAAAAAGTCCCGCAGCGGGTGAGCTCTGGACCCCCCGGGAGAACAGCGGGTCCGGGGGGCTTCGGGAGGGAGGCTGGGGGTCAGCGCGTGGGGGATGGGAAGAACCGAGGGGAAGGCCGCTTCCTCCGTGGAGCTCGCTGCTGGGTCGGGTCTGAGATTTTTGCTTCGACCCATCCCTCTTTTTTTGGGAAAACACTGATTTTTTCCCCCCTTATGGATGAAACCAGCTCTGGTGCCACTTTAGCGAGCAGGGGCAGGTGTAGGGAGGGCTGTCTGGCCTCCCGGGGGGACAAAATGGGAGTGGGGGCGGCAGCCTAGAGAATGGGAACCTGTGCGCCCGCCCCCCAGGGTTGAGGCGCTGGTCGAAGGGGGCCTTTAAATGAGGGGTGCCTGGAGGGGAGCCTCTTCTGCGGAGCTGGGATTGACGGGGACAATGAATAGTTGCGAGGACCCTCGAAGGATGAGGAGCCGCCTCCTCGGGGAATACCGGGAGGTGGACAGACGGCCCCGCCCCCTCCAGGGATGGGCGCGAGTGGCAGTTGGGACGCTGGCGGGAGGATCCCGGAGATCCGACCCTTGCTTTTCTCTCGGGAACACGGCCCCCCGACCTCCGCCAAGCCCCAGCCCTAGCAGCTCCTACCTTTTCTTTCCCGGCGCTTCGGGTCCACTCCCAGCCGCCGCCGCCGCCGCCTCTGCCACCCGCTCGCATCCACAGCCCACTGAGGCCCCGCCCCTCAGCCGCCAGGCGGGCACTGGCATTCACCAGGGCCAATCACCACCTCGCCTCTCCAGCCCCTGCACCAATCCGCGCCCGCTGGAGGCGGGGCTTCTCCAATGTCATTGAGGCTCCTCCTGGGGCCCCAAGATCCCTTTTGTTTGGGAAGAGACGAACTGGGATTGAGGTCGCGTCACTTCCGGCAGGAAGCGTTGCCCTGCTCCTACCCGAGCTCGGGGCTGGCTCGCTCCTCTCCCGCCCGGCGCCTGCAACTTTCCACCTTCGGTGCGGTTTCCTGGGCAGGACCCGGGCGAATGCTTCGTGCTTTACCCTCCTAGCTCAGGAATGGCGGGTGCCCTGATTGGCCCATTAACGTTGGGAGTGTGCTTTGGTGTCTGCTTCAGAATTAGTTGTTGAAAATCTGGTAACGTGTCTTTCGTGCTCTCTCTTTTTTTTTCTTGGACGAGCTTGTGGGTGTGGTGCTAGAAGCAAGGGCGCAAAGATAAAAAAAAACCCCGACACCTTCCCCCTTTATCTTTTCACATTACATTTGAGAGATAATACTAGCCCTGGAGCCCTTGCGTGGGGACGCTGGTGGTGCCCAGGAGAGCATAAACCCAGCCCAGCTTGCCTTCCAGGTAGAAGTCGAATGAATAATTACA